TTCTCCTCCACCGTATCGTTCCCAATCGTCACGACATTAATTCCCGTGTCGTAAGTGCAATTCCCATCGTAATCACTTTTGAAAATATACTTCAACGTGTTCTCGTAATCGAATCTCGGGCAACGTTTCAACGTTCTGTGATCAAAGGGGATCGTTATCTCCTCCTCGACGATCGCGTTCCCCGTCGCTCGTACGCTTGCCTCGTTCGCGGCAACTATCTCGTCCCGGCTGTAGTAATTCGTGTTCAACAATAATCTCAACGGCAACGAGAGCAATACGCCGAATATGGTCAGTATCACCAGAATGCTGACATTGATGCCCATTGAGATCCGTTTCTCGGACATCTCGATGGAACGCGTATTCACATTTTCCTCGGGCGTTCTTGTTGTTTCGAGCTCCATTTTCCGTGATGCGATGTCCCGTGATGCTCGACGGCCAAATTCTCCACGTTCATCTCGTTCGTCGCCTGCCTCCCAACGTTCAACGACGTTTTCCCCCCTTCGCTCGGACGACACTCGCTCGATCAAAAATTTTCCAGAACGAATTATCCCTCTCTCTTTATCGTGCACACGCAACTGTTGCGCATTGTGTTGTGACTGCGGTTCCAAAGCGAATCCCTGGATGTCGGTTGATTATTGATTTCTCCCGTGGCCGAGGCGTACGCGCAAGTCTCTAAGCGGCACCCCGCTTGGTGCCGTAGTCGGCGGTAATTAAAACGTCCTTTAAATCGAGAATGGCGGTTGGAACGATCGACGTTTATATCGCCGGAACTACCCTCGTTTGAACCGATCACACGCCCGATTGTGCCTCTTGTAACTTGTTTCAACGTAAGCTTCGATTGGAAGGGAATTATTAGCTGTCTGACTGGCTGGAAAGTTGTAATTGGGGGTATAAATAGAGCGTGGTGTAGGTTGTTTTTTTTTTTTTTTTTTTTATTGGATTTTTCATTTGTTAATTGGGTCGTGTCTCTTTAATGGGTTTTTTTCTTTTTCTTTTTTTTTTTCTTGGATGAGGAATTAAAAAGTAATAACGGATCGATTTGACTTGGAGGGCTTCCAAATGCGTTCTTAATATAGACGTTAACGAGAA